AGTCCACAGCCAGGAAAGGACTTTAAAACACATTCACCTGAACAAAAGGGAGATTTTTGTGGTTACTTATACATGTTCTATCTGGCAAGATGAAAGACAGTCAAACAGCCATTACCAAAGAAGTTAAATCCATTCATTCCCAGAATCCTAAAACACAGCTGACTACATGCTAACTTGCCAAAGCACAAAGAACACAAAGAGATGTTTCTCTTCACAGAAATGTTTAGTGAAGCCTATTCCGCATTTCACTTTACCAGTCCTGACAGACAGCTGTGCATTTCCCAACCCATTTTACCTCATTTATTTATTTTTTTTTTAATAACCACAAGTACTTTTTACCAAAAGACATAACCAACCGAACAGCCAGACCAAACAAAAATGACACAGTTAACCAAGGGAAAAAAAGTCTTTTCGGGACAATATTCCTGGAACTAAAAGACACTCACCACTGTCTGTTCCCAGTTCTTATCTCCCATATCGCCTCACCTGACATTGCAAAGAATAAGAAGATTCTGGACCGCAGGAAGAGTGGAATTCTCATTCTGGCCTGTCACCAGGTGCCTGTCCAGCACGACGTGAACAGCATCCGGACTGCTGGCTAAACACAGGAGAAAAATAAGCGTTGTGTTAGTGGACACCAGTTCAGGGTCAGTATCACACCTCTCACAGAACTAACACACACATTTAACTATTCTGACCAGACAGATCTGCTGGGGGACTGACATGCTGACCTACAGCCCCAACAGACAGGGACAACCTTGAGCCCTAATCCTGAAACAATTTCACTAGAAAGTCCTTCTCTGAAAGGACAGCAGGACTGGTCCCTTGAGTCACTTAATATCAGGGGAGCGAAGTGCATGCATCAAGAAATTTTCATAATAAAAACCTCAAAGTATGTATTTTACAGTTGTAACTACCCTGCAATACAAACTCTTCTTACACAAGACATCAAAGCTGTAATCCCCGTATTACAAAGAGCCTGCAGGGCAGCACTGATTTCCTGGCCAACTACAATACCCCAACACATTAATATCTACCAGCAGTCGTTCAGTGCTCCAACCAGTATTTTTAAGTTACCTCATTCCAGATAGACCCATTATTTCGTCAGTAATGAGCAACTCCTGTTCTCTTCCCCCTCTCCCAGCCACCGACACCCTAAACACAGCCTAAGTGCCTTCAAACCCCACACGCTTGTCCTCCTCTTGCTTTGTTTGTCTGTACCACTGCAACCAGGCGTACGGGATGTGACAGGTACCACCGAGCCCCTGGCTGCCGAGCCCTCTGCACCGAGCCCCCAGCCTCCAAACCCTCTGCACTGAGCCCGTCATGCAGAAGGTGGCAGCAGCAGCTCTTCCAAAAGCATAAAGATGCCATTTGAACACACAAACTGGCCGACAGCAGCATGGATGGAAGACGACGAAGCAAAGAACACACGGTAATTCAGTAAGAC